GGGGGGGCGTCATGACCCCCATGACCCCCCCTGCATCCGCCCTTGCTGTCTGGCCCCTCGAACTTGTGAAACATCAGGAACAAATCCTCTAGAACCCCCAACAAACCCCAGTTCCATCTTTCTGTCTAGGAGGGCCACAACATCTTCAACAAACTGTCCAGCTCCGACTACAAGCAGGTCCTGGGCCTTCTGAAGCACTGCATTCTAGCCACCGACTTAGCGGTGTTCTTCCCCAACAAGGCGCGCTTGACGAAAATCGTGGAAGAAGGGGCGTTTTCCTGGAGCAACACTGAGCACCGCCTGCTGCTGCAGGCCATCTCGATGACGGGCAGCGACCTGAGCGCCAGCGCCAAGCCCTGGGACATCCAGGTGGAGACGGTGCGCGTCATCTTCGAGGAGTTCTACCAGCAAGGGGACGCTGAGAGGTCTGCTCTTGTTCTGAGGTGAGCCGACGCTGATCTGATCCCATCTGCGCAGGAAGGCTGGAAGACACCCCATTCCCATGATGGACAGGGCGCAGCCGGATGAACAGCCCTCCAGCCAAGTGGGGTTCTTGACCGGCATTTGCCTGCCGTGCTACAATCTGCTGAACGCGCTCATCCCCGACTGCAAGCCCCTGCTGGACATGTGCCAGAGCAACTTGGACCACTGGCGGCAGATCGATGAGGATATCAAGGAGCGGCGGGAGCAGCCGTAGGCTGCCTTGTTAGGCTGTTAGGCCTCAGTAGGCAATTAAACCATCCCACCACAAAAAGCAGTTTACTTTGCCCGGCAACGTCTACAACCTCTTCAGTCCCTAAAGGGCGAACACCAAGGGCGGGATGGTCTTGAGGGCCTCATTGATGTAGCTGTGCTCCATCTCCAACTCCGCCACCAGCGCTTTGATCTTGGCCAAGACGTCCGCTTTCCTGGTGTCCCGTTTCTCCAGCACCTTGCCCAGCACGCCCTTCAGCTGGTGGCCGGATGTGGATCCAGAAAAGGCCACCAAGTTGCCCAGAACCTCGTCCGTGTAACCCTGCAAGGCAACCCCATCAACCCAACTGGCCGGGTCTAAAACCCTCGAGCTTACAGCGAACTTGTTCAGCATCAGCCTCTTGGCCTCCTTGTTCAGCAGGTCGTAGAGCGACAGCAAGGTCACGTAGGCCTTGGTAGGGGGCACCTTTTTCTTGTTGAGCACCTCGAACCGATAGCTCAGATCTGAGTCTTCGAACTTCTGCGAAAACTCTTGAACGCGACTCTCATCGTTCTTCGTCGGGAGTTCTGGGTCAAGGCTGAAACATCCCTGTACTAGTACTAGAGGGCTAGAAAGTTCAAGGGGTCACCTGTTGGCCAGCCTCAGAACGTCCCCAAAGGCCTGGCCCAGGTACTTCTGCGCCTCCTGATAGATCAGAGCCTGCTCCTCCAGCCCCCTGCCCGCTTGGTAGGTCGGGTAGCGATCAAAGTAGCTCAGGCCGCTCGAGGGTTGCTGCAGTTGCAAGTACTGGTCCCGGGCGCCGCCTTAATTGTTAAATAACCTTTCAGTTTGATTCAATAATTTTTTAAATATTTTTAAATTAATCAGGGCATACGTCCAAACATCGCAACCTCAGTTTGTCTCTCTTGCACTCGCGCGAGCCATCGGCCCTTTGCCACAGACAGATTATATCTTTATGCTGTGCCTTTGCGGTGCGGCTGGCGCCCTCTCGTTTGCCGCTCTACATTCTCGGGACGCCAACGTCAAATTTGAGTTTGAAAAGCTTCAGAACAGTCTGGAAAAGCAACTTTTGACGAAAAGGACGGCCTTTTGGTGTTTGTTTGTAGTGTTCTAGCGAGTAGGAATGGAATAGTTGCTGTTTCCGGCCATGCGGGGACCACAGCAGCCCTGACGCGCTTAGGCCCCAACCTCAAAGCAACTTGGTAAGTTTCGCATTGGGTTGCAAAGTCTCGGGGGCTCAGCAGGGGCCGATCCAGCTTGCGAGTCAGGGAGGGTCAAGTAGTAGAGATTCAGTCCTTTGTTGTCTATTAAATTAGAAAAATTTGCGTTAGTCGACAGAACCCCAGCACAAGGGGGGGTTATAACCCCCCCCTGGATCCGCCCTTGGGGCACAGCCCCCTTGTCACTGGAAATTTAATGGGGTTGAGCACCGATTCACGTCAAAGCTCAAGGTTGTCTAGGGGGCCCCCGAGCGGTTTGCCCGGGACACAGTCGGCAGGCTGTGGATTTGGACCAGTTTTGGTCAATTATTGCTTGGAAACACCATGATAACTCTTAGTATGAATGTGGGGTTCCATTAGGTGCCAAACCAAGGGCAAATACCGCAAAAATCGCCAGAGAAAAGTTGAAAATAGGCAACAACTCAAAAGCGCAGCTTAACACAGTGTTACAGCACTAGCGCGATTTTCACTGATATTTACTTGCGGAGAAATAGGCGCTGGGTCCTAGAGGTTCCGTAGGCGCAAACAGGGCCGGTTTATGAGCGGGAGTGGGCCGTAGAGTTGTGGTTGTAGTTGAGGCGGCTCCTAGAGAACAATTCAGCCCTTACTATTTGCGCGCAGTGGAACCCGGTGGCTTACCTGCAGGCGGCTTGATAACGTACTTCATCAGCTCAGTGTCGTGGGCAATAATCTGCATGGCAGCGGGGATGTAGGAGCTGGACAGTTTGGGTTCGGGTTCCGTTTTGGGCGGCCCGCGTAGGCCCCAATCGGCCAGGCATGGCTGAAAAAGCGAAGCAAAGTATGTCATTAAGCATTCAGTCGGTGGATAGTTGATGCGTTTCTCAAGGCCGCCAGTCAAAGACCTCTTCAACGGGTTTTTCTGGGTTTCGAAACGTTTTCGTCAATTTGGTTCCTTTGCGGGATTATCTGGATCTTGGCCAGTTCATGCACTAAGGGGTAGATCAGGTTGTTAATGGATAGAGGAGGAAACGCACCTGCAAAACGCAAAACACTGCCAAGAACCACCGATACATTTCCGCACAAAATCTCTCGATCACAACACAACTATCACAGCACGAAGGTGTTCAAATTCGGGTTGGGCATGTGGTGTTGGTCACCAAATGGCTCATTATTGCCGAAGCCGCAAAACGAACAGAACCAGATTCGTAGTGGTACCCATTAACGAATCATCGACGCTATTGACGCGCAGCACCGAAAAGCGGTTCTACATTTACTTCTCGACTCTTAAACCAGTTTGTGGCCCGGATTTCGGCATCATCCAGTCGCTCGCCTACAGTTTGCCGAAGAAATGCCGACCAGTCGAAGATGGTTCCGGGTTCTCGTTCAGCCAATGGAAAGTGAACGGAGAAAGCATTTCGTTTCACTTGGTCTGCTCGTGCTCGGCATTGCAACGCAGGCTGTGCTTTGGATGGTTTGCTCAAATCTCCCATGGTTCTCTACTATCAACAGCCGCTCTTCGTTTGGGTTCTTATGCAATTCGATAAACCGATAATCAGTATGCGGGTGCCATAATGTGCAACCTCCGATATTGTCAATGCCACCAAACACCTCATAAAAATCTAATTGGGCCAAAACCATCTGGTATACAGGAGGCATTGAATGAATGGGTCGAAGCGTGTAAAATTTATAAACTTCAATTGGCATTTTGGTCCTGATGTTTCTCTAGCACGCATGGCACCATCTTCAGAGGTTGGCGCGCAACATTGAAGCCCCATCAACTAGTTTTGCCTTGCTAAATGCGCTGATATTCTAAGCGGTGAAGGTAGCAGGTTGGAACGTAGCAACGCGCAGGCCGGCGTGCATCGCACATGACGCGCACAGGAGCAAGAGAGACAACCGATCCCAACTGCGTTCCTGAATGGGAACAGCCCAATTTACGCATTTTTAATAAGCCTTTGAGTTTGACTGAACCGCGCCGCCCAACTTTCCGAGCACTCGGTACGCATTATTCCGAAGAAATGGCCTTCTAGTAAACAAATCGCGCGACAATAAACAAACAAGGCGCTTTGATGGTTTTGCAAGCCCGGCCCGAGTAGGGAGTGTATTTAAACTAAGGCGAAGAGCACCTGATTGCTTATTGATGAGTTTTTTCTGGCGCATTTCGGGTTTTATCATCAAGTGGTTCGCGAGTTGTGAAAGTGCTCCAGAATGGCGTCTTATCAAGCATCAAGTTTCATCATTGCGGCTGTTTTACTCCAGGTAAGTAGAGTGTTTGGGGCAAGAACCAAGAGTGTGGATTGGCGGGTTCATCTGTGACTAGTTGGCGCTGATTGGCGGCTGCACCAGCTGGGTTTACACCGCGCCGCGAGCTCTGGCCGGATTGGCCGGATCTGCGTCGGCTTCATCCCCCAGCTCTCCTGCAGGTTTGGTGATCGCCGACTTGAGGAGCAGGAAGGCGGAGGAATTGACCAAACAGGTCGAGTCCTTGGAGGACAGCGGCGTTGAGGAAGACACTGCGAACGAAGCATCCCCCAGCTTGCTGAAGAAGAAGGTTAGTGTGGGTGGGGGTAATGGTCCGAAGACACTCAATCGATTGGTCCAGATCGGCAAGATCCTGACAAAGCTGCGCCTGATCGCCCAACTGAAGAACGCCTACCACTACAAGCCGGAGGAAAGCGATCCGGAGGACACCACAATGTCCATGGCAGTGGACTCAAGCGAAGCCCAACCCACTGATGCCAGCGCGCATGTTTCGGAAAACATCCAGCAAATCCCGGCGGCTGCGCCGCCCATCCGGCCGCTGGTGGTGGACTTGCAGGTGAGCCAAATCGACGACAAACTGCTGGATCTGAAGGAGGAACCCGCGGAAAAGCCGGCGGAAGAAGCGCGCAGCCCTTTGAGGAGTTTGGGGGTTTTCTTTGCCGAACTGCTCGGCTCCATAGTGGGGCTCACCTATGGGGCGGTGGCGCAGATCAGCGCCGGCGGCCAGAGTCCGGTCGCCATCAGCACATCAGAGGGCCTTTGATTTGTAATGAAATAAACCGTTGAACTTAGAAAGTTTTATTTGTACATGGAGTCGCTTAAAGTCGTCTAAGCGCCCAAACGCTGTTGTGCTGCTGTGCTATATATAAACAAAATGGCGCCGGTCAGCTACGTTTACTCTTCGAGTTCCTCCTGCACGGGCTGTTTCCGGCCGGTTTTCGTCCGGAAGTTGAAAAGGCCGGCGTTTCTGAGCATGGCGGCCGCATAGGGGTCGCCGAAGGAGGTGGCGTGCGAGGTGGCAACGCCGCCCTTGCCTGTGGAGAAGGCATTGGCAATAGCAGTGGCGGCGCCGGGGAGTCCTTCGTCTTGGCCAGCGGCTCTTGTTCGAGCGCTTCCCGCTCCGCCAATGAAGATGGGGAAGAAGGCGTTGTAGCCACCTGGTTGATGGGAGGATTGCTGGTGTTTCTCACCGGTAAGCTGGAACTTACCTCGTGCGCCTACTCCAGCAAATGGCCAGGCTGCCGGTAGGGCGGGCTCGTCATCGCTCTCTTCCTCTGCTTCTTCGGCTGCAGGCTTGGGGGGCGCCACCGGTCGCTTCGCCTTGCCCACTTTCACTTTCCTGGCTGGGGCTACGGGCGCTAAGATGGGGAAGTGTTCTGGTTTAGTGGGGATTGCATTTTTCTCTTTAGAGGTTAGGTTATGGGGAAAAGACGGTTAAGGACACGATCAATCGAAAAGGTTCTCGTAATTTGAGCGAAAACATGGTGGTGTTTTTGAAGCTTGAAAATGTGCTGGCGATTTTTCCGCTATTTGCGACCATTCGAAATAGGAGCAAAAATCTTCAGATTTTTATGAAATTTTGAATTTTTCGCATAAATGGAAGTTCTCGAGTCGCTTATTAGAAATGTATACGATTTTTTGCGATATTTTAAACTGTTTCCCAAATATGAACGAAAATCTTTACGTTTTTATGAAATTTGCATTTTTGCTTTAGAGGTTAGAATTTTCGAAAAAAGTCACTTGAAGAAGTGAGTGCCTGATGCGCTCTATTGAAAATGTGCTCACGATTTTTCCGCTATTTGCAATCGTTTTTGAATCGCGAGCAAAACTCTTCATATTTTAATGAAATTTTACATTTTTTTGCAGAGGTTTGAATTTTTGAAGTAAATTTTGTCTTGAGAAAATATAAGTTTTCGAGTCGCTCCATAGAAAATGTCGTCTATTTTCCACGGAATCTTCACTGCACCTTGAAATTTGTTTCTATCTTCTAACCTTTAGAGGTTAGAATTTTTGAAATATCACTAAAAAAATAATTCTTGAGGCGCTCTACTGAAAATAAGCTGTCGATTTTTCCGCTTTTTGCAACCGTTTTGGAAATATGAACAAAAATCTTCAGATTTTTATGAAATTTTGCATTTTCTCGCAGAGGTTATAATTTTTGAAATAATTTTTTTGAAAAAATAAAAGTTCTCGAGTCGCTCCCTTGAAAATGTCGATTTTCCACGGAATTCCAACCGTTTTCGAAATATGAACGAAAATCTTCACTGCACCTTGAAATTTGTTTCTATCTTCTAACCTTTAGAGGTTAGAATTTTTAAAATATCACCAAAAAAAATTGTTGAGGCGCTCTACTGAAAATGAGCTGACGATTTTTCCTCTTTTTGCAACCGTTTTCGAAATATGAACAAAAATCTTCAGATTTTTATGAAATTTTGCATTTTCTCACAGAGGTTAGAATTTTGGATATAATTTTTTGAAAAAATAAAAGCTCTCGAGTCGCTCCATAGAAAATGTCGTCGATTTTCCACGGAATTCCAACCGTTTTCGAAATATGAACGAAAATCTTCACTCCACCTTGAAATTTGTTTCTATCTTCTAACCTTTAGAGGTTATAATTTTTGAAATATCACTAGAAAAAATAATTCTTGAGGCGCTCTACTGAAAATGAGCTGGCGATTTTTCCGCTTTTTGCAACCGTTTTGGAAATATGAACAAAAATCTTCAGATTTTTATGAAATTTTGCATTTCCTCACAGAGGTTAGAATTTTTGAAATAATTTTTTTGAAAAAATAAAAGTTCTCGAGTCGCTCCATACAAAATGTGTTTAAGATTTTCCACACAAGATCTTCACTGTGTCTTGAAATTTTGCGATTTTTCTTTAGAGGTTAGAATTTTCGAAATAAACCACTGGAAAATATTAAAACAAACTTTTTGACAAACGACAGCTCTTGAATACAAACAGTTTCAACACTATTGTCAAAAACAGTGTTCCAGTTATAAACGGAAATTCCCCTAGCCAGTTAGAGCTTACCACGAACGGTGGTGATTGGTGCAGCCTTGGTGGTGGGGATGGCGGCCGCCTCAGTGGTGCCCTCTTCAATCGAAAAAAGCGTTTCCTGCTCGTCGCCCTTCTCCACTTCCGGTTCAGTCTCGTTGATCGAATCCGGTTCGGGGACGGCTACAACAAAGGGTTGTTGGCGCTGCGTCACTTGCTCAGAAACCTGCTCTTCGTCGGACTGGAAACGTGAAAAGAGGGGATACTGGGTGCGCGGAGATACCGGGGGAAAATTTACCTGCTGAATATCCGGGATGGCAGCAGGTCCAGGCAGGACGTCCCTAGTGGGGGAATAAGGGGAGCCGGAGAATGAGTTGGTGGCAACAGTGTCGCCCATTACCATTGCGGTCATTTGGCCGGGGGGAAGGTACTCGTATCCAGGCCCCTCCCTAGCGTAGCGGGGGTTGGCATAGAAACTGCCCCCGATCATATAAGAGCGCGGATAATAGCCGCCTCCTTCACAAAGACCCTTTTTACAGCAACAACGGAAAAAAAAACAAATGAGCGAGCAACTTACTGGATTTGGGAAAGGCCACAGTGCACCCGATGACGATCAACAAGCACAAACTCGCGATCAGCTTCATGATGATTTGATTGTCGATTGTCGATTTGAGAGAAGCAAACGGTGGCTGTTGAAGACACGGCTGTTTTGATTATAGGGCCGTTTTGCAACAATATATATTTCGCAATCCTCGTTTCCCCCTCTAGTTTTTGATTCATCCACCTGGTGACCGTTGAGGATTCAGCTCACGTTTCGATTTATAATCGGCTGTACCAACGATGGTCATTTTGAAATTACAATTTTCGTTATGCCAACACTTTATAGGCAAACGGTGGTGATTAGATCGGATTTTTGCATTTTTTTAAGGTTGCGACGAAGACGTTTTATTAAAATCGTCGAATTCGATTTTCCCGTTCCGTTCATTAGATGATGGTGTTGTTCGCACTGGCTGGATGATGGCCAGTTGAGCACTTTCAGTGGTTCATGGCTTGGGGAAGTTCGGGGGCGTTTTGCCTCGACGCTTCCTATTCGGCGGGAATTTGCGTCACGCGTCGTCCAGGTGTGCAATTGCAAAAGCGCATTGCATTCCAGCCAGGATTCGCCAAAAAAATGATAAAAACCCATTCTACACCCGAGTTACATGAATAAGAAACACGCGATTTCCATACGAAATGTTGCCCGCCGACGCAGGTCGGTAATCAGGCAGGAGATTTTTTAGTTTCTGGATATTTTTTGCGTGTAAAATCCTGCAGGCATAAAAATCGATATAGTAGGCCTCCCTTTGCAAATGTTGTTAGTTTTGTTCAATTTCAGCGGAGGAGTTTTTTATGATTAAGTCCGGAAGTTGGACAAGTTTTTCGGCGGTTTTCCTTTTTTGCACCATCTGATTCTAGAGCTCATTGCGAAACACTCAGGCAGGATTTCCAAATGCGGGTTCCAGCGGTCGATATAGTAGGCCTCCCTTTGCAAATGTT